GCCTGTGCAAGGGGAGGGCATGGAGATTAGGTGAGTGTTACACAGCCCCTGGGTAAGGGTAGCCTGCTTACAACATAAGGGAGGAAAAGAGGTTTGTCTGTCCCCCGGCCCGTGCCACTGGTTTTTGCTCTTGTTGCTTTTACAGTTTTCTGCTGCCAGGAGCCACCCTACTTTGGAGCCAGCTCATTATGGACTGAAACTTCGACAAACTGTGAGCTAAATAAACCTTTCCTTCCTTAATTCTGTGTGTCAGGTATTTTGTCTCTGCAACGAGAGAAAAGTAACTAAGACAATATATATATTTATTTTCTTTTTTACCAGGTCCATTAATTTACTTCTCCATGTGTGAGAGAGCTAGAGACAGAGACAGAGACGTTATAGCTTGTGTCTGATGTCCCCTCAAAGCCTCAGGCAGTCTTAGAGCTTTTTCAGTGGTCGCTGAATCTAGTGTGATGCTGGGATTAGGGGTGTGAGATTATTAAATCAGCCCACTGACTGGACTGGCACCACTCTAATCCCAGTAGACTGGATATAATATAAGGGATAAAAAGAGACTTGTCTCTCCCCCTTGTTGCTTTGGCTATCTTCCGCCACCATGAACTGATGCCCCTCTGCCATGCCTTTGCCTTGGAACCAGCTGATTGTGTACTGAAACCTCTGCAAACTGTGAGCCAAATAAACCTTTTCCCCTTTAACTTTGGGTGTCCAGTATTTTGTCTCAGAAATGAGAGAAAAGTAATGAAGAGAAGGAGGAGGAGGAGGAGGACAAGGAGGAGGAACAGGAGGAAAAGGACAGAAGGGGAGCAGGAGGGGGGAAGGGGAAGAGAGAGAAAAAGAAAGGAGAAGAGAGAAGGAAGGGAGAGAGACCATAATATAAGAATATACAGGCAAACCAAGTAAAAAGTAATTTCCAGGGAAATGAGGCTAGATGTTTAAAGTACTGATAATCTCCCTGTCTGTACATTTGGGGAAGAACTAATCGCAGTTCTATCGTTTTTATTTCCACACACTTCTACAAGAAAATGTTGATAGACTGTAATATTAAGGGAAAAAATAATTTAAAATGTAATCCATTTATCTTATATATAAATAAAAGCTCCTTAGATGCAGCAATAAAAATGAGATGGAAACTAAAGTAATTTACTTGCATTTTCTTCCAGAAGCTATTTCTTTATTTGGTAGATAAACAGATTATAACTAACATTTTTTACCCCACAACTGCCATAATAGACCCAATTTCTTAATAAATCCAATAATGGTGTATAGAAATAAAACATTTTTCATGAAAATATAGTCAATCTTTAAATATATATAAAATCTGATTTTTATTGAAAATACTACCAAGAAACCTGAAAGTAAGAATCTAATCAAAAACTCAAATACACAGGAGTTCAGTGGTTGGTTTTTTTCCCCCTAACACAGACCACTTTCCAAGCAAATTTAATTTGTGTTGCTAAGAAGATGGTTAACTTCTTCTAAATTCAATTGGGATAACAATATTCTTTATGTAGTATGCACCATTAAGCAAAATAAAGTGTTTCCTTTGTAGACTCCCAAGAAGACCTTGAAGTAAAAGCGTTATAATTTGAAGTACTTAAAAGCCTAAAAATATCTATTTAATGAGTCAAGCAGTGAACTTATTTTTGATAGTTAAGTAGATAATCAAAGCAGAATTAACACTTTCTACAGACAAGATAATCTATTTTTTTCTCAGTTCAAACTTTCTAGGAGCCTACAGACTAATGTTTTCCTCAATGAAGGACATTTAGCGGGCTTTAGTAAAGCATCAATGTTCTACAAACATTTAAGATTAAAGGTAGTGCTTAGAAACACTAGTTCTCTGCGAGGCCTGGGCGAGGAATGGGGCCAAGGCAAAGGGATGGCGCACTGCGCTCAAGTACCTGAATGACCGCATTGCAGAACTCCAGGGAGTTCATGAACTGCACGAGGGCAGGAAGCAGGAGCCAGTCGTCCTTCAGGAGGCAGTGCCACTCCTCGCCTTTCTCTTCCAGCTTCGTGGGCAGGGAGGAGTACAGCCCACTGAGACCGGTTGCAAGCACCTGTGTTCAGAGTAAAACTGTCAGTCTTTTCTCAGATTCATAACCTACAATTAACAGCTCACAGGCTGAACCCACATAATTAGGCGAAAGACTGAACTTTGAGCAGCAAGGCATTAAAGGTATTAGAGGAGCAGTTAGCCCGGAAGGATTCAACAGGTGGGAAGGACCGCGCGACGAGACCGAACAGCAGTCTTGGCTCCTCCCCATGTGGCCAACAGGGGCACACTGATGGTGTGCCAGGCACTGTACTGGGCCGGGACTGAGGAGGAGAAAGGGGTAAAGTGAGGATGAGAGAAAACATGATTCCTGCCGCCCCCCCCAAGACATTCATGATGGGGATGAATTCACACATACTGTCATATAATACCGTTCAGTGAGTGTGAATACACACAAGCATTTCAGTGCAAATACCTGAGTCTACGGGAGGACGCCCCAGACTGAGGTGGTCTAGGACAGAAGCAAGCACAGGTAAGAAGCATGCAGAGCTTTAAGAGAAAAGTTCCTTGGGATTCCTTGTACATTTAAGGCCATCAGTGACACATGTTTACAGGTTAAAAACGCTTCTCTGTACATTATGATCCTCACAAACCATAGCAAAAACAAAGAACAGGAGGCCAGTTCAATGTGAGGACAAGAGTTTAAACAAAGCTGAAGTGAGTCTGCTGACCCGTCAGGAGGGATAAAAACAGGAGAAAATAAACCTGAGCCTCATGTGTGAGGTGGATGTGAGGGTAATCTAACTACAGCACCTAAAAATTAATCCAAAATTCCTGAAGTTCTCTGTCCCCCTGACCCTAAAATTACACTGGCAATATTTGGGATTGATAAGTGAAGGTGAGTAAGTATTCAAAACTGTCAAGTTATGCAATTTGGTCATTAGGAAAATGGTGATGCCCTTCACAAAGAAAGAAGGAACACAATGCCACGCGCTTGCTGATTTTACCTTCTAGGGTGTAAGGTCACAGGACTGAGGCCTTCTGAGTGGGAAGGGATCCTAACTAAGCAGCACCTTAGACACCCTGACTTGTCAGATGTACAAGGAGTGGAAAGGAATGGCCCAGACTGACGCAAGGAAGTTAGCTACAAAAGACACAGGTTGTGATGAACTCAAATGAGATAGAACATCCACGAAAACATTCCGAGGTAGGTCAGAAAAGCAATAGGGGTGTGCTGACTGTTTTCACAATCTAATGAGAGATAAGCAGGCAACTGTAACAGCGTTAGAAATGCTCAGAACAAGCTGGGCCCTGTGGCTCCCTTATGTGATCTCAGCACTGTAGGAAGATAACACAGTTTGAATACAGCCTGCACAATTTGTAGACTTAGCTTAGACCCTGTCTCAAAATAACAAAAAGTCTGGGGATATAGCTCAGTGCAAATCCCTAGGAGGCAGAGAGGGATTCAGAACATGCAAAAGGAAATAGACAATGCTGTGGCCCTTATAAAAGGGCTCTTAATTCAGACTTGGGAGTGGGTAGCAGTAGAAAATGCTCTCAAAAGTTCTGGCTGCTGAAGAACAAACAAGAGTTCTCCAGAGAAAGAGTGGTGGAAGGAAGACTATTCTAAGCACAGCAAACAGCATGTACAAAGGCTCAAAGGACACAGAAAAGATGGCATCCTTTAGGAATTAGAGAAGTATAGTACTGTTAGAACAAAAATTATAAGTATAAATGGCAGCAAGGTAAATAAAAGCTAGAGCCTGCAGAGTTTTATAGGCCATGATCAAGAGCTTGTGTGGCACCCAAACAGACAGCACAACAGACATGTGGTCTGCTGCTTGGAAGAGCTCCGGGCTGGAGGTGACCACCTGAGGTCATCCATAGGTAGACAGTATGTGAAGCACACGAAGCAGAGAGAAGGAAAGGGAGGGACAGACGGGTGAGCTATGGTAAAGTAACACAGGGAGCCTGACAGGAGAAGCAGAGACACAGGTGGTAAGGGTTCAGTATGCTCCGGAGAAAACTTTTCTAGAGACCTACTGTTGCCTCTCCTTTTCCCTGTCCTGCCCCCTCAGCACCCTGTAGCCTTCTAGGGAGCAGTCAGCACTTGGGCATTTGTGGGTTTACTGTCTGCCTTCTCCATCTCCCCTGACCTGACTCGCTCGCTCCAGTCCCCGCTGGGGAGATGGGAGACTGCTGAGCCAGGTGTGCCACATTGCAGACCCAGCAGTCCTTCCTCAGAGGATCAAACCCAACTCCGCCGTGAGAGGACAGGCCTGGGGTGGCTCGGCACACAGAGCCGGGCAGAGCCACGGGAGGGACACAGAAGGGTAAGGAGACAGCATAGGAGCCCACCCCGCAGAACAAAGGGCAGTGAGAGGAATGGATGAATTATTCCAATACCAGAGAAATAAGAAGATGGTAAATGCTCTGTCCATCTCCTAGTAAACTTTATTCAAGTGTATGTTCACTCACTCATTAAAACATGCTAAACATCTAACCTTTTGCCAGGCACTGTGTTGTGTATGGGAGATACAACAGTAAGTAGTATCACACCTTTTTCTCTTTTCAAAATCAGGGCATCTGCGATCCCAAAGGCAAGTGTTCCCTATTTAAAGTACTTAACTCCTTGTCAACATACCCAAACAAATCACTTGAATTCCAATTTTGAATGTGACCCAAATGACTGGCCTATTATAAATTAGAAACCTCTGGCAAAAGAGAACAGAGCCCAAAAGTTCTCCTTGAAGAGAAATCTAATCTTGATGCCACATTTTTAAAATCAATTACATTTGCTAACTCATGCTAAATGAACCACAGAACAAAGGGTTTAATTCTGCATACTCCTGGTTTCTTAACCACTTTGAGGCTTTGAAGATGAATTCATAAAGACAGGCTTAATTTGTCTGACTAAAAAGCTGGGAATAACTATTCAGTATATCAATATAATTACAGCAACATTAATTTTCAAATTACATACATCAGTGACAGTAATTAAAAATAACACACACCTAATACTCACTTTTTAAAATGACTCTTCTGAGGAGGACATGGCTGAGATACGAAAGCAGGGAAGCCTGCCTGAATGGAAGGATGCTGCCTGTCCAGAAGGAGGCACCCTACCCAACGCGACTGCGGCCAGGGAGCCCTGCCGCCACAAAGTGGGCGAGGCAGCGCCTCTGCTATCCTCCTCAGAACGGCAAAGAAACACGGGAGAAAATACTCCGCAGAATGAGGAGTGTTACACAGTCTCAGGAACGAGATTCCCAATCTTTACTGCTTCTACCACCCCTTCTGATGCTCTGGCCGGAGTTCAGATTCCTTCCCCCGTTCTAGAATAGGCTGCAGGGCAGGCACAAGCAAGGCTGGCACTGGGCGAGCACGAGGAACAGTTCAGACCTGGTAGAGTGGAGAAAGCCCCGGAAGATAGTACGTGTGAGAAGGATGAGCGCTGCCAGGAGAAACACAGTGAGTGCCACGGGAACAAAGGAATAGTAACGGTAAGTTTGTCAGCACTTTTCCAAGTTGAGGGCTTCACAGCACAATCTACTGCACTTACTTTTACATTTTTCAACTTACAAATGAAAGCGTAAAAATTTTAAGTATTTATGTTTAATAACAAATTAAAACGAAAATACCACTCCAGTTTTAGCCCCTTACTGATTCAGACCCAAAAAATAATCGTAAAACATTACATTCCCGACACAGTAAGTGTTAATCTAACACATTTATTTTCTAAGAATATCCTCAAAAGAAATTAAACGTTATTAAACCAAATGGATAACAACAGACAAAAAGCAAAGAGCTTTCCTCAGAGCACTGTGGCATGGGAGGGGCTGAGACCACGGGTTTTCACGTCAGACTCATGTTTCAAGGCAGTTTCTGCCACTGACAGTTATTAACGCTCGCTCAACTTCAGTTTCTTACCGATAATGTGTGTACTTAAATTAGAACAATAGTTTACATATAACGTTTCCAGTGGAGAAAGGAAAGCTGACAGGCTGAGCACCAAACAAGTAATGCTGATCTTTAAACATCTAGAGGTAACCAGTTAACTTTAGCAAAAATAAAGTTTTTAGCAGATGGCTTTCGTCTGAAGCTAGCGGCAAAACACCTGGTGGAGACTGTTTGATACAACCTGCCAAAATAAAAAGCCTCATAAATTTTGGGTATGGGATAAATTACTTCCTACCTGCAGTTCTATAGCTAAAGGTCACTTACTTCAATTTACATTTCTTGATTTATGTATACCAGGCTGTTCTCTATACATACCAACATATAACAAATGGCACAGGCATAACCATCAATAGCAGTTAAAAAAAGTCAAGTGATAGGGCCAGTTAGTCCCCCACCATTTGCTGGCACCAAACTGTTCTCTAGGGTACCCTTATTTTCCTTGTTTTTTTGTAAAAACGTATCTTGAGATAAGCAGCAGCAGAACCAGCGGCTCTTCCTATCAGCTATAATGACAAAAGTTTCCAAAGGGGTCCAGTTTCCTGAAAGAGTCATTACTCTTCCAACAGCCTGATGCTAACACACTTTGACAATCATACTAATTACAGAAAGCTTTTTGTCAATTGTGGTCCTTAGCTGGATGGTTAATAGAGTATGCTTTTATCTTCAAAATAAACGGGCCTTTTTTTAAATTATGTTGTCAGATGTAATTATAGAAAACTGGGTACAAATGAGATTATAGAATCTATCCTGAGGGGCAACTTAACACAACGTAACTTGTCTTCCACTCTAGCAAATGAGGTCATCTGAAGATGCTGTTTTCCCTCTGATTCTAATGAACAGTGTAATGTTTTAAAACATGTTTTTATAAAAGCAACAATTACTCAGTGAAATCTGCTTGTGACAGTTAGTAGAAATCTAAACATTAAAAATATGCCCCATTCTTGTCCTGATACATTTAAAGTTTTAAATTATGAGGCATTACAAAAATATAAAACATAATAAAATTGAAACCTTTGCCAAGACATCACAGACTTTAACATGTTTCCATAATTTCTTCAGGGTAAACTGTATTTTTTAAAAAGTAAAACATGAGCCGGGAGTGGG